TAAACATTGCCAACATAACATGCATCCAAAACATCTTGCAAAACACACATCTCGGCGTAGCCGACTTCTTGCTTGTTACCTACATACATGCATAGGGAGGGTGAGCTTGGATACTCAGTGAATGGTATAAGTAATAAAGGGGTTAAATGAATGATACCCGAGATTTTTCAAAACAATACATATAATATCCTTGTCAAAACCATACATAACATAGCTTAACTTGGCTTGAAATAAAACATCATTCGAAAATTGGTCTTTCAAAACTTACATACTTAACATACGTCAATCTTAAAACATGGGGTGATGACATCTCAGGCAAAACAAAAGCATAACCTCGGCATTGAGCACACCCGTTCATAGTCCGTAGGTGGCCGATATCTCAACAAGGGTGCTACTTAGGCTTAACGTCCCCTAGCACGAAAGGACGGTGCTACCTAGGCTTAAAGTCCCCTAGCACGGAAGGACCCTCCAAAACAAGATGTGCTGCGAAAGTTTAGAGTCCTCCAGCACAAGGGACTTCCAAAACAAGATGTGCTGCGAAAGTTTAGAGTCCTCTAGCACAAGGGACTTCCAAAACAAAGGAATAATCGACCCGGAATCGATTAGGCAAACCCACCCGCACAAGGCAGTCGGTGGCAAGGGAGATATCTCAAACAAGGGTGCTGCGAAAGTTTAGAGTCCTCCAGCACGAGGGACTTATGTTACAAAGGCACGTAACCCTTTAACACTAGAGTGCTGCGAAAGTTTAGAGTCCTCCAGCACAAGGGACTTTCAAATCAAGAGGTGCTGCGAAAGTTTAGAGTCCTCCAGCACGAGGGACTTTCCGAGAATGTCGTCAAAACAAAGCTTACTTGATACATTGCCATTCAAAACAAAGCTTATACTTGATACATAAAATAGGGATATCATTCATGCTTAACAAATACTTTTATCAAAACAAGGCAAAGCTTTATCAAAACCTTAAGAACATAACTTTATTAAAAATACCACTCACTTAGTTCTTGGGACGTCGGGGTCAAGGCAAAGGTCCAAGTCCTACAAACACATGGCAAAGTCTACTGAATACACTTCTCAAAACAAGTCTTACATGCATGCAAATGATCTCGGGAAAACATGCTGGAAGTCAAACACTGTTTTACATGTCAGGGAGACATGCTGGGTACCAACCAGGTCTTTGCCGAGGTCCCACATCTCCTGGCTGAGGTGTGGCTACCTAGGCTTCGGCATGCGGCTGCATGCCGAGGTGCGCACAAGACAAACTAAAGGTGTAAGTGATCATGCAAGGTAGGCCAAGGTGAGATACGATGCTTGGCCTAAGTGTGAGGTCTAGGTAAGAGTGATCTCGGCGACTACACCTCGGAAAGTGAGGTCTGGAGATCTGGGTTTCCACCCGTGAAGAACAGGAAGAACATGAACATGAAGAACATGAGGAACGTGGATGCCAAAATCATAACTTCTTTATTACAAAAATCTGGGATTTCATGCTATGAGTTCGAAAACATGGACCTGGGTACCCATACTTGAAGATCATGTGAAAACAAACACAAAAACATGGATCTTGGCATGAACTTTCGGATCAAAACATGATTTTTCTTGAAGAACACATGAATGCTATTTTCTCTTTCTAAAACCGAACTTCAAAGCAATACATGGCTTACAAATCATATTCAATCATGCAATGCAATAATATGAATATAAGGAACAACAAGAGCAAATCAAAAATCTAACCTTAGAACACGGATCTAACAGTTCGATCTCTAGGGATCAAGCTTGGAAATCTTCTCTCCCTCAAGAACTCCTCTCCCTCTTCTAGAGCTTCTCTCTCCTCTTTAAAACAAAGATATAACAAATGATGGGTTTCTCTCTCTGTCGGCTGACTTAACACTCAGCTTGGACACGTGGCAACGGCTGGTTGGCTCTCCTAAAAAAGGTGATAGATTGACAAGACAAGACTATGACAAAGTGTATCTAACAAGCTACTCGTAAGGCACTTCGGCAAGTGATGACATCGGCTAAGGACAAAGCTTCGGCAACTAAGGTGACAATGACCTCGGCTAGGAAGGACAACGCTTGACTAAGCTGTGCCACACCTTGGCCTAGATGTGCCACACCTCGGTCTAGGTCATACCACTCCAGGACAAGATCACTTGGGTGCAAAGGTAACATCTCGGCCTAGATAATACACATCTCGGCCAATATGTCAAGGCGAAGATGGAGGTCAAACAAAGGGGTTCCAAGATAATTCTAGACTGAAGATGACCTCGGATTGGAATGATCTAGGCTTGACATAACCTAGGCTTGAGACACCAAGGAAAGGGGCGAAGCATGCACACAACACTTAGGCAATTCACATAACCACAAAACAAGGCATGGACCTTACTTAAGCAAAACAAGTCACAAACATACAAATGCAAGCTTAACAAGTCATAATCATACAGATGCTCATGAACATGACTAAGACATAAATGTGGTTGTTACAGTTTGTTCGGTGGTGCGGAGAGTACGAATTCAGTACGTTAAAAGGTACTTTTGGCTCATTTTTATTTCATTCTCTTCTGATCTTTCTCTTTCCTCTTCTTTTTTCCCCCTATTGTTAAGAGTTTCCAAGCTTTCAAACTTAATTTTCTTCTCCCTCCTCTCATTTTTCACCCCATGTCCCTTATATAAAAACGAAGAACGCGTCTTGGGATTTCTCTTGGGCGAGGTCGAAAAGTCGGACTTCTTATGTTCTTGCTAGATGTAGGGATTTTTCTTGATTCTCTTCAATATTATCTTGTGGATAGATGAGTGGTATTTTCTATTGCATAAAACCCTCATTTTGAGGAGATTTTTCATAAATAGCATGTAAAGAAGTTAGTGTTTTTAATTTATGGTTGTTAAATTGATGATTTAAGCGGAATATGAAATGTTTGGGCTACAGGAATATGTTTGGTGTTAAATAGTAAAAAGCCCTAATTTTATGCTTAACCCTAGCTATGGAATTTATTTTGGGGAATGAAGAAAGTTTCCATTGACAGTTAATTCATGAAATTACGTTTATGTTTTGTGAGATAAGAGTAAATAATGATAATCGATGGTTGAAAAAAAAAAAGAAAAAAGATAATTGTGTTGAAAGGTTATGTAAAATAAATTGAGGTTAGTAATTAAATGAACTACTCCTGGATAACTTATGATGATAATGTGGTAAAGCAAAGAGATAACAAGAATATCATAATTGTGCATACTTCTAAAGATGAGCTTGTAAGTTTTTGGTGAAGTGTTATTAGATTGTTTTGAGATAAAAATAGTAAACATTGTTATTGGTTTTTGTCGGAATTGTAATAATGAAGGACTTGATGAATAATAAAGAATGTGGTGGAATATAAAGTGTAGATGTTATGTGAATTATTAAGGTAATGTGTGGCGGACCTAACGAATGATGTGTTGGCCTTGCCCACAAATTATATCGATGGATTGGGATATTGTTTTGGTGTCTGTTTCCTGCCGTATTTGAGTCACAAAGCGTGGCACGTAATAAAGGTTCTGCCTTCCTTCCAGAGTAGTGCCCGGTAAAGCGTGTGGTTTGATAAGACGTGTGAGGTTCCCCATTTCTTCCGGCTCGTGACCGGTAAAGCGTGGTAGTGCGATGACATGGCTTGGTAATGAAGCCAGTTTAGATTGGATTTGTGTGGAACGATGATAACGAAATCTACCCTTATGATTTTGATAAGGGGAGTGAATAATCATAATGATATAAAGTTGAATACGTGGGACTGTGTAGCTTTATTTTACATGGTTAATGAGTAATGGTTTATTGTGACTTATAGTAAGCTGGCTCTTTTCTTAACATCGACCTCCTAATAATGTATTTGCAAAAACTATATTAGAATTATACTGAAACACAAGAAAAGGGTTTTCTTTAAACAACTTTTTGTGGATTTCTTTAAGAGAAAGATGTTACATTTTATATGTAGTGTATTTTGAGTATGAAAGGAGCACATTTTATATGCATGTATCACTCCTAGCATTCATGATCACATGTATCTAGGGATATTTATTGTTTAGAACCATTGAAAGTTCCTACTGGACATATTGTTCATCCCATGTTTATGTTACCATTTTTGGGGAAAGAGACCCACTAACACTAGTTGAAGATTTACGAAGTTGTATTTCCTTTTTGGTGTACAATTGTTATTAGAGTGTAACTAAAATGTACAGAATGATCAATGGTTGTTGAGTGTTTTGATATGTAAATATTGGTTTTGGATACTTCAATGTAATTCATTCGCATGTACCATTGTTGTATTCATTCGAGAGAGGACAATATTTCTATTACTCAAATGTAATGGATATTAGTATTCATTAATGTGTTTAACATCTAGATTTAAAGTAAAGGTTTTGGTAATGTTTCCGAGAAATAAAATTTGGAGACGTAACAAACACACTCGCTGGGTAGCTCACCGTCCTTTTGTTCTCAAGTTGAACAACGTCATTCGAATTAACACAAATCTTGGACCCAAGGAGTACGGAAAGCGACGAATATTTCCTCCCCGTACAGGGTGTAAATGTAATTTACCATTTTTTAAAATATTCAGAAAAAAAAACTCCACATGACATTCTCAAAGTCCTTGACCCTAAATCCATTTTTTTGCCCTAATATGATACATATGTATTGTTTGACAAAATCAAAAACTAATGGCTGAGATTAGACACCGATCCATCCAAAGGTCTATAATCATTCCAATTTCGCCTATATATATGCGACGATAAATCTAGGGTTCTTTCTTCTCAACCCTACATCCTTTGGAGTCTTCATCTAGGGTTCTTACGAGTTCGCTGCGAAAAGCTCTCTCCTTCTCCAACACACAAACACACACAAAATGATGAGTTCGATCGCACCTCATCCTCATATCAAAGCCCTTCTTTTTGTATTTTATTCTTCAAATCTATATTTGTTAGGTTTTTATGGTATTGAATATGATTTTTCATGACAATTGATTAAGTTTTGATCTTGTTTTTCAGATTCTTCCAAATAATATCGATTTGTTGAATCCACTAGCAGAGCTCGAGAAGAGGAAGCACAAGCTAAAGCGTCTGGTCCAGTCCCCTAATTCCTTCTTCATGGTAACGCAAACCCCACAAATTTTATTCTGTCACTCATAATTGATACTCAATTTGTTGTAAGTTTTGTTTTTAACCAAATAGTGCTCTGATTCTTTTTTTTTTCTTCAATTTTTTTTTTCTGCAAAAGGATGTCAAATGCCAAGGCTGTTTCAACATGTGAGTTTTTGTAATACTTTGTTTATTATTATTATTATTGATCTCATGTTATTGTTTTGGGTTTCAAATTAAATGTTTTGTTTGGATTAGTTTCTGAAAGCTGTTTTTGAGTTTTTTGTATTTGTTTTTTTAACATTTTAGTCAAATTGATTCACCTGATACACCTAAAAATTCAAATATTTGTGAAGAACCTTGAAAAAGTTCACTAGGAATGATGTACTATTTGTATTTTTCGTGATTTTTTTTTTTCAATTTTTGCTTTTAACTTTGAAGTACATCTAGGTTAGTTGGTTGGATATAAAAATCAAGTTTTATTTATTTATTGAAATATAAAAAAGTTAACTAAATATAATAAAACACTATAAACAAAAAATTCAAAAATAAATTATTGAGTTTCAAAACCAACCATAGATTTACATGATGTGTCATGTTCTTTTCCACTTTAGTAAATTTTTATTGATTGATCAATTGGAAAAATTAAAGAACCACCATCTTTAGTCGCTCGCAAACTGTTGTGATGTGTAGAAACTGCCATACCATCTTGTGCCAGCTAATAGGAGGCCATACGAGGCTCGCCGAGGGATGTTCTTTCAGGAGAAAGGGTGACTGAGTGTGCTTCTCTACTTTTCATTTCGATTATTAGTTTCAATGGAAGATTTTTGAAAGCTGCTTAGTGCTAGTTTGAGATCAAGCACCTTCTTGTTTTGGCGTGAATAATGTTGGCTTTGTTAAATGTGTTCGACTTTAATTACGTGACTATTCTTATTTAATATTTTTTGGTGCCTTTGATTTGGTTAAGTTTGAATGATTGATATTTTTCTCCCTTGTGTGTTAAGTTGATTTTTTATTAGTAAAGTTAGCTATTGTATTAAAGGGTGCCAAAAAAATGTGCAAACTCTAGTAGATTATTTACATATTAAACAGAAACAATGTTTTCCTTATGTCTACTAGGATATAGAACCCCGCAAGAAACTAGTTAAATAAATCTCGTGAAATTGAAAAATCTAGTGAATTGTAAGAAAGTAACCACTAGTAAGGATTTAGGTGTTTTAGGTTTGAAGAATCTATGAATATGGCTCTTTTGTCAAAATGGTGGTGGAGATTTGGTAAGGAAAGAAATGTACATTGTGGAGAAGGGGTTAGTAAGCCACAAATATAATGTTGAGATGGTAGAATGGCTTCCTTAGAGGGTTGAAAATGGAAACAATTAAGGTGTTCGGAAGAGTGTAGTGGAATTAGAATGCAAGTAATTCAATGTTAAAGATATTATGAGAAATAATAATATGTTTATAATAGTGGGAAATGGGCATATATTGACTTGGGAATTGGTCACTAAACTTAAAATATCCAAGGTTATTAACAATCTCAAATGTAATGTGAAGGATGTATGTAAGCTTGATAGTGGTAAAATTTTGTGGAAGTCAGAGTATAGAAGACAATGATTTAGTGGGAGAAAGAGTGGGTAAATATGTTTAAATTGCTAGAAGGAGTTAGGTTGAAGCTAAGGACTGCAGGAGTTAAGTTGAGGGTAGGGACAACTAATATAGATGTTAGACTAGAATGGGGTTCTTACCTCAATATGCTCTTTGTACAAGCAGTTGAAATTTTTTTGGGATTGAATAAGAATTAGAAAATTTATGTACGAATTTTGCTACATCTCCCATTTTATCACTCCCAATTACCCCTCTAATGAAATGGCAAACAATTTTGAAAGGAAAGAAGAGTTTGAAGAGAGTTGATTGGTTGTTATTATTTGCCACCTTATGTGTTTTGCTTGAAAAAATTGTTAGTAGGGATTTACTATTGAGAATGAACATTATCCCTCTAGAGTCTGAGGCTTGTTGTGTGTTCTATAATGGGGATAGAAAATCTAGGGTCCGTTTGGTTTAGTTTTGAAACGTAAGATTTTGAAAAGAGTTTTGAAAATTAAGAACTTGTTTGGTTATGAGTTTTGAAAATAATTTTGGAATAATTTGTAGGTTTTTTATTTTTTATTTTTTATAGTTGAATAGATGAGTATGAGAGAAAAATTGATTAATTGATAATTAGAATGTAAGAGAGGTTAAAAGAGAGAGAAAAAATGATTGAAAAAAAAAACAAAAAGAGAGGAGAGAAAAAACAATTTTGAAACAATATTAAAAAATTGTAAACCAAACATTTTTTTTTCAATCCAAAAGTTAATTTAAAAATTAAACCAGACACTACCCTATTGTTCATGTATAGAGTGCTTTTATCCAATTGTGGGGCTCGCCCAAGGAATTTGGACGGTATTGGTGGTTTGGGTTGAATTACAAGTGTTTGAAAAAGGAAATCATGAAGTTTTGTTTGTTTTTTTGGTTGACAAGAAATATAATTGTTTTTTATAAAGATGAAATTGATTGGGTGGAGATCATATTGAGCTGATAAGCAAGGTATGAGGACTATCTTATTTTTAATGTTTTTTGTTTTTTTTTTTGTTTTTGTTTTGTTTTTTTTGTTTTTTTTTTTTTTTTTTTGTTAGTTGTTTGCACTAAATGGGTGAGGTTATAGTTGAGTAAAGGAAATGGGCTGTTAAAGTAGGTTTTTAACAGAGTACTCTGTTTTTTTTTTCCCCATACAATAGGATGTAAAAAGGGATTAGTAAGTTAGATTACAACGAAATGGTCGAAATTGTTCTATCAACTCGAATTTTGATTCTCTGACTTTCTTATTATCCAAAGAAACAGTTACATGGTAGACTGGTTTTGTTAATGCCTTGGTCTGTGTACATTCCAATTTTTCTATCTTGACACTTCATACTTGATCACCTTGTTTCTAACACACTATATAGGATTTGATTATCGGTGGTGTACGATGAATGGTGTGTATGGGTGCATGCATGTATATGGTAATCAGGGTTGGCTCTAAACTTTTCTAGACCTAGAGCAAGCTTCTAACATGGGTTTTTTTATATATCTATATTATTATTATTATTATTATTATTATTATTATTATATAAAACAACACAAGCATATAGGTGGAATTGAATCTAACGCCTATGCTATTGTCGATTTTATTTTTATTATGTCAATATAATTTCATTTGAACCAAATAACCTCTTTGCATTGTTTCAAGCACACAGTTTGAAGAAAAGTTAGATACAAACACGTGTGGTTGTAACGCCCCGAAAATAATAACAATAAAACCATCTCACAACATTTCTTAAATATCAATACATTCTTAAAATAATACCATTCCATTCATATGCTTCCATTATACAAAATGTGATGCATACAATTATATATTCATAGGCTTTAACCTTGAATCTATAGCATGTGCCACAAGCAAACGATATGAAATACAAGTTTAAACAGATAAATTAATGCCCTAATGGCTACAACTTTCCCAAACAATGCTTGGTTACAACAAGTGAGTTTTTAACTCAATATAGTTTAAGCCCTAGGCTTGTACAAAATAAATACAACAAATATCAAAAAAAGAAGCTCTTGGCTCTAAGTCCTCCCAAACTACGTCCTTAGCAGAGACATGTCATCAACACCTGAAAGTTATTTTCCACATAAGGTGAGCCAAAGTCTAGTAGAGATACTCTAACACAGTGTATGAATTTTAACAAAATTATAAGATGAATGCATATGTAATGCCAAGTGCCAAAACATTTTACATTTCTTTCCGAAACCATGCTATGCCAGATTATATCTCAATTCATTAAAACATTTCCTTTATAATAGAAAACATGGTAGTGATTATAAGCACTGGGAATCTCTAAGTACGTGTCTGCCAGTAAGCTATACAAGCACTACCAAAGCCATTTTATCAGTACTAACTAAAAGGATCGGCACCGAACTGCGCGGGTTTCTAGACTTTCACCAATGACACACAAGCCAACAAAATGCCACAACCACACCCCTACCCAGATTCACCAAGGTATTCACTATTCACTCATTTTTCTCAAAATAATATATATTTTCAATGTTAAGTATGCAACAATGCTCAATGCAAATGGATGAAAAATTAGTTTCAATTCACCTAATCTTCATGCAATTTCAACAACAATCATAGCTTTCCTCCACCGATAGCACAGAACATATATCTTTATTCAAACAGATAATTTCCAATAAAGATCCAATTTCATAAATTCTGAGATGAAGAGTGATAATACATATCCAACTCTACCATCATCATTAACATAATCATTATTCTGTTCTTACAAAATCCAACGTCATTTCAATTTTCTTTCACAAAATCAAACATCCAAGATTTTAGGGAAAATTTCCATTTTCTTTAAAGATCAATTCCAAGTATGAAAATCCACCATTTTATCGTAACTCAATCACATTTACAACCCCACAACCATTTTCGAGACCTATTTGAAAACCCCTCATTTTTATTTCAAAATCAAACCCTATATTTTATACAAAATCTCCCAAATCACAATATTCTTTAGACAGACAAATAACTAAGTTAAAAATCATACAAAAGGTCAAAGAAACCCTTACCTCAAAGTAAGAAGACAAGACAGAGCAAGGTTGAAACTTGACGAAGCCGAAAACAAACCTTACTCCGGTCAAATCAAAGCTCCAGGCAAGCTCTACCCTTTTTCCTAAAGGACAATGGTGTAACAACTAATAGATTGAGAGTATTTGAAGGTTGAAGACGAGTTTTAGAGAGAGAAGGTCTAGATTTAGGGTTTTGAAATGTTTAGAGAGAGAGAGAGATGAAAAAGTGATCCAAAAAGTGACTTTTATGAACTGAAATACGTGTAGACCACTCAAGCGACTAAAACACCGCTCAAGCGACTAGACACAATAAGTGACACCGCTCAAGCGGACAAAGTGACCGCTCGAGCACAAAATGACTGTAACGCCCAAAATAATTACAATAAAACCATCCACAATATTAATAAATAACAATACCATTCTGAATACAATATCCTAGTCATTTCATACAATCAAAGTGTACAAAAGATGTCACATGCAGTTATACATTCATAAGTCCTAACCCTGAATCTATAACATGTGCCATAAGTTGAAGATATGAAATAAATTTAAATCCAATACAGTTAAAGCCCTTGGCTTGTACAAAATAAATATAACAATACACAAAAAGAAGCCTTCAGCTCCAAGTCCTTCAAAGCTATTGCCTTGGCGGAGGCATATCATCAACACCTGAAAATGGCTTTCCCACATAAGGTGAACCAAAACTCAGTAGAAATACTACAACACAGTTTATGAATCTTAACAAATATATAAAGTGAATGCATATGCAATGCTCATGTTAAAAACATTTTATATCTCTTTCTAAAACCATGCAATGCCAAGTTTATAACACAATTCGTTAAATCATTTCCTTTACAATAGAAAACAAAGTAGTGAGTACATCACTCTGAATCTCTAGGTACGTGTTTGCCATACAAGCACTACTCTTTGTCATTTTTACTAGTATTAACTGGAAGGCTCGACACCTATCCGCGTGGGTTTTGGTCTTTCACCAAGGACACATAGACCAACTTAATATCGTAACCACACCCTCTACCCAAATTCACCAAGTATTCACCCATTTTTCTCAAAACAATATACATTTTTAATTTGTTAAAGATGTGACAAAATTCAATGCAAATGAATATAAATTAGTTCCAATTCACCTCATTCTCATGCAATTTCTACAACAATCATAGCTATCCTCCACCAATAGACCAAAACAGATATGTCTAAACAAATAAATAATTTTCATGAAGACAAACTTTCCAAAAATCTCAAGATGTGAGTGATAATACATATCCAACTCCGTCATCCTTATCAACATCAATCTAATTCCACATTTCCAACATCAAATTCCGTTTATCATTACAAAATCAACATTTGATATTCTTAGAGAAAAATCCCATTTCCTTTATAAATCAATTTCAAAAATAAAGTCCATCATTTCATCATAACTCAACAATAAATACATTTCCTCAATCATTTCCATCAACTCATTTGAAAACTTCTCTTTTGATTTCAAACCAAAACCCTAGATTTGTCCAAAAATTCCCAAATCACAATGTTTCTTTATAAAAACAAATAATTAAGTTAAAAATCATAAAAAAGGGCAGAGAATCCCTGAGCCTAGAAGACGAGAGAGAGAGAGAGTGGATGAACCTCAAAGACGACGAAAATCAACTTTGTTCCAATTAAGAGGAAGCTCTCGGTGTGCTCTACCTTTTTATCAAAGGGACTAGGGTGGAGAAATCAATGGATCTAGGTATATTTGTAGAAAGAATGTGAGTTTTAGAGAAAGAAGCTCTAGTTCTAGGGTTTTTAGAATGTTTAAAGAGATAGAGAAATGAAAAAGTGACACAAAAAGTGACTTTTACGAACTGATATACGTGTAGACCGCTCGAGCACAAGAAGTGTCGCTCGAGCGACTAGAAACAATAAGTAGGACTACTCGAGCGCAAAAATTACTGCTCAAGCAAAGAATACTAGCTTCCAAAAGTTTTATAGACAGAAGACCACCAGTTGAGCCCTAGAAGTACTGCTCAAGCCAACACTGCTTGAGCGCAAGAATCACCACTCGAGCAAAGAATGCACCCTCCCAGTAGTTTTGCAAACCTGCAAAAGTACTGAGAGTTTTCAAAGACCGCTCGAGCGCAAGAAGCTTTGCTTGAGGGTAGAGACAAAAATTTAGGCAACAACAATTTTGAAAAACAAGCTACCAACCTGTTCCAAACGCAACCAAGACACTCCAATAACCAAACTCAATGAGGAATAAGGAGAAACAAGACATGAACAATCATATAAGACAATGAAACCCGAATCCAGAACATCAAATGGGTTGGGTCTAAACCAAAATCGCTATAACCTCCCTCTTTAAGGAATTTCGTCCCCAAAATTTTAAATCCAACAACAAAACCATGTTTAAACCAATTACAACAATCCTGTGATGTCTTCACAACACCTTTACCAAAGAAATTGTCTTGGCACGCAAGACTTGGTCTCGAGTATCTAAAACTCTAACCGGTCTCTCCTCGTATGAGACATCACCATCAACCTCTAACTCGGTCCAATCCAACAAGTGTGATGGATTTGGCTCGTGCTTCCGAAGCATACTGATATGAAACACGTTATGAACCCTAGAAAGCTATGGTGGCAAGGCCAACCGATAAGCTACCTCCCCAATCCGTTCTAGGACTTCAAAAGGTCCAATAAATCTAGGAGACAACTTCCCGCTTTTCCCAAACCTCATCAAACCCCGTCTAGGTGATATTTTTAAGAAGACGTGATCTCCTACCTCAAATGACAATGATCTCCTACTCAACTGTAGAAGTTGATCGTATTGATGGAAAAGCTTTCAATAAGGTACAGGACCTGTGGTATGCCCCACGGGGCTAAACAACCCCTTTCAATAGGGGTGTAAATGTAACGACCGCGACCTCCGTGTTATTTTTATTTAGTATTTGATTGGGCATAAATTGCATAATTTTGTGTTTAATAGAAACTTATCTGTTTGTATGTGAATTATCTGTTTAATTCTCGACTTAGAATTCGAAATTGAAAGCCTAAACGATTTCAGAAGCCAAAATTGGTTAATTCAATAGGCTAGTTAGAATATTTAGAATCATATGGTAAGTTTAATTAAAATTTGATTTGAATCAAAATAATTAGAATAAAATAATCATAATTGATAAAATAATCACTTAAGCATAGGTGATTAGTGAGGCCTTAATTACCCTATATATATTTGTTAAATATGCTTAGACTTTATTTTACATCAACTTTGTGCTGAAAACTTGAGAGCTAGAGAGAGAATTCAACACTTTAGAGAGAGAGAGAGAGAGAGAGAAGAATTCAAGAGAAACCAAGGGAGGGTCTAGAGATTAAGCTTAATTTAGGCTAAATTCAAGCTCTAGGTATGATTTTAACCTACAATTCATGAAGTTAAACCATGTAGGAAGATGTATTCACCAATTTGTAGGACCATTTGCATGTAATTGAAAAAAATGAGCTAGAATCAATAACAGTTTAGTGAATTCAAGTGAATTGTGTACACGCATGCATATTTTTTTACTTTTGAACTTAGTTTCTTCAAAATTCATACTTGCATAGTCTTTACATGAGTTATTTCTTGAACTTCTTCATGGTTTTGCACTCAACATTTCATATAAACATGTTTTTCTTTATACTGATATTACTCACTAGGCTCCAGCTCACCCATTTACCTTATATATATATATGTAGGTGAGCAAGCAGAACGTCACGTTTAAAGTAAACTGGGCGTCTACCCTTTTGAAGCCTTTTGGAAAGTGCCTCCGTAAAGGGGCGAGCTTGGACTTGAGAGGAGTTAAGCATTGTCAACCCAACTTTTGTCTTGTTTTGTTCTTGTTTCTTTGGATAATTTTGCAACTTGTATGAATGATGTAGGGTGAGGAGTCTAACTTTTGACTATTGTATATAAGTTTTATGAAGTTAAAGTTGGTTTTTACTACTTATGATTTCGGCATGTATGCACGGCTCAATGGCTCGTTATTATTTTATGCTTTTATTTCCGTTAAGCCCTATTCTTATATTATGATTTATTTGACTTTGAGATCGAAGGTAATCCAGGATTACTATCTGGTCATGGCCTGAACCTCTAGGGGTGAGCTAGGGTCGTAACAGAGTAGTATCAAAACATGAGTTATACCTCACTCACTTGTCCATTGAGCAATAAGGTGTCTAGAAAAGACTTAAGAATTGTATTCATTGCATTTGAATGACAATATAAGATAACTTTTGAAAATGTGTAACTGTATATGTGTGTGCATACAATGTATTTGTTATGATACAAGTTTCATATTGGTAATGGTGAGAATAAGAGAAGATAAACTGGACGAGTCTACCTCCAACCGTCTTGGTAGGATGGAAAGAATGATGCACGATATGGCTGAAAGCCTAAGACAATAACAACAATGGCAACAACAGCAACCCCCACCCCCACCTCCAATACCTGTACCACCGATGCCAGATCATCAAACAGATGACAGAACCATTGCCCTCACCAAGCAATTTAAAAAGTTGAAGCCACCTTTGTTCCATGTGGGTGTTGATCCATTAAAGGCTAAGGCCTGGGTGTTAGGGATCGCGAAATTGTTTGAAGTGTTTCCGTGTACAGAGACACAAAAAGTTCTATTGGCTGCCTTCACCTTAGAAGATGAAACAAGAAGGTGGTGGATGTTAGTGCGAGATACTAATAGGGGGATTAATTGGGCTTAGTTGTTAAAGATCTTCTATGAGAAATACTTCCCGCAGTGTGTTCGGGACAGAAAAGTGACACAATTTGAGTTATTAAAATAGGGGAATAAATTAGTGGCAGAATATGAAGCTCAGTTTACTGAACTAGCATGGTTTGCACCACATATGGTTGATACGGACTACAAAAAGGGCAAAAAGTTCGAGGGAGGTTTCCGTGACTCCATCCTTCATAGTATAAATGTTTTGAAACAGCCTAAATATGTTGATGTGTTAGACAGGGCACTTATGTCAGAGGCAAACCTAGCCGCTCACAATCAGAATTTCAAACGGAGAGGTAAGAGACAAAACTTTAGTAAGGAAGCAACATCATCAATGAGCAAGAAATCGAAATCCAGTAACTCAAGCTCAAACCAAAGTGCTAATTCGAAACCCAATTGTGCTATATGTGGAAAGAAACATCGGGGCGTGTGCTATCGTACCATGGGAGCTTGCTATCAGTGTGGGAAAGTCGGTCACATGGCAAGATATTGTACATAACCTCGACGGATTGGCAACTGAGGCACTGCAAGTTCATCCAGGTCAGTCCCAGCAACAAGACCCAATACAACTCAGGCTACAACACAAAGTGATGTAAGACAAAGAAGAGTGTTCACACTTATTCCAGGAGATACTCAAAACACAGAGGTGGTAGTTTCAGATACACTTTTCTATTTATGGCTAAGCTGCATATGTATTGATTGATTCAGGTTCCACTCATTCTTTAATTTCTATGGTATTTGATAATAAATTCAATAGACCCATGGAATCCTTAAGTTACATATTATGTGTTGCATCACCAACGGGGGGATCTATGTTGTGCTTGTCTATGTATTCTGTATGTGAATTATTACTTGAAAATGCCACTTTATATGCTGATTTGTTACCCCTTGATATGAGACATTTTGATGTAATTTTTGGTATAAACTGGCTATCTAAGTATTATGCAACCATTAATTATGCATCTAAGCTAGTGATATTTCGACCTTTGGGTCAAGATGAATTTTATTTTGAGGATAAGGGTGTAGCTCCTCCACCATACTTAATACCTGCAATGAAAGCTCGTAAATTGATTAGTAAGGGATGTCAATAGTATTTGTGTAGTGTGCTAAATGATCAAACCTGAATATTACCTTGGATAGCATCTCTATAGTAAGGGATTTTCTTGATGTGTTTCCAGAAGAGTTACCGGGATAACTGATTAATAGAGAAATTGAATTTGTAATTGATATAGTACCGAGTACTCAACCTATATCCAAAACTTCATATCGTATGTCTACTACTAAAATGAAAGAATTGAAAGTTCAGTTGCAGGGATTACTTGACAAAGGGTTTATTCGACCAAGTACATCACCATGGGGTGCACCTGTATTGTTTGTAAAAAAGAAAGATGGCACACTCCAGTTGTGTATTGATTACTGGGAACTTAACAAGGTAACTATCAAAAATAAGTATCCTTTGCCTCGGAGTGATGATTTGTTTGACTAGTTACAAGGGCCCCAAGTATTTTCAAAGATTGATTTGAGGTCGGGATATCACTAGTTGAAAGTCAAAGCTAAAGATATTGAGAAAACTGCCTTTCGAACCAGGTATGGACATTATGAATTCTTAGTCATGCCTTTTGGAGTTACTAATCTGCCAGCAACATTTATGGATTTGATGAATAACGTCTTTAAACCATTCCTGGATGATTTTGTCGATGTATTTATTGACGACATTTTGATTTATTCCAGAAGTAAAGATGACCATGAATGACACTTGAGAATAACTCTGCGGACACTTAGATAGAAACACCTGTATGGAAAACTTAAAAACTATGAATTCTGGTTAGATAAGGTTACATTTCTGGGGCATGTTATTAACAGTGATGGCATTTCAGTTGACTCACAAAAAATTGAAGCAATTATAGATTGGCCTACTCCGACTAACATAATAGAGGTTCGTGGTTTCATGGTATTGGCAGGTTATTACTGAAGTTTTGTCAAAGACGTTTCAGAGATGGTTGTGCCGTTGACACACTTGACTCGAAAAGGAGAGCCATTTGTATGGACAAACCAAAGAGAATCTGCATTCCAAGAGTTGAAAACAAGGCTGACTGCTGCTCCAATTCTTACTCTACCATCAGGTACTGAAGGATTTGTAATTTTTAGTGATGCTTCTCATAGAGGGTTGGGTTGTATTTTAATGTAGAATGGCAAGGTGATTGCTTATGCATCCTGACAGTTAAAACCTCATAAAAAGAACTACCCGACACATGTCCTAGAACTCGCCACAATTGTCTTTGCATTAAAGGTCTAGCGTCACTATTTATACGGGTTAAAATGTGAAGTATATACAGATCACAAAAGCTTGAAATATCTCTTTACCCAAAAAGAGTTAAATATGCAACAAAGAAGATGACTTGAATTGATCAAAGACTATGACCTGCAAATCCATTATCACCCAGGGAAAGCTAATATTGTAGCCGATGCACTCAGTAGAAAGAATATGGAGAATTTAGCTTGTTTGCTTATAGATCAGAATGAACTTCTGCGTGAATTTGAAAATCTTGAATTGGAAGTAGTACTTTATGAACGAGACTGTTTATTGACTGCAATTTCAGCCCAGCCAGTAATCATAGAAGAGATCAAGCAAAAGTAGTGGAATGATGATTTCTTTAAAAATATTTTTTATGAGTTCAAAACCAAGCCTAGACCGGGGTTTACGATTGAGAATCAAGTGTTAAAATTTCAAGGAAGGCATTGTGTACCTAATGACATAGAATTGAAAAGAAGAATTCTAGATGAGGCTCACAAGTCAATGTTTGCTATGCTCCCAGGAAATACTAAAATGTACCAAGAATTAAAACAGATGTACTGGTGGCCAAACATGACAAAAGAGATTGCTAATTACAACTCCAAATGCCTTCAATGCCAACAAATGAAAGCTGAACATCAAAAACCAACAGGTTTGCTTCATTCTCTTCCTATTCTAGAATGGAAGTGGGAACATATAACCATTGATTTCATTGTCGGTCTACCTCGAACACCTAGAGGTATGAATGTTATTTGGGTTACTGTTGATAGATTGACGAAATATGCTTATTTTCTTGCTGTGAAAATTTCGTTTAATGCCTACAGACTTGTCACTATTTATATTGATGAAATTATTTGACTACATGGATTTTTAGTGTCTATAGTTTCAGATAGAGATCCTAAATTCGTTTATAGATTTTAGAAGAGTTTACAACAAGCTAAGGGCATAGAATTGAGATTTAGCACGACTTTTCATCCACAAACCGATGGGTAAATGGAGAGAACTATCCAAACATTAGAAAATATGCTTCGTATGTGCGTCCTAGAATTTCAGGACAGTTGGGAAACTTACCTACCATTGGCAAAATTTGCTTATAACAACGGTTTCCACTGAAGTATCAGCATAGCACCTTGTGAGGCATTATATGGTAGAAAGTATATATAACAACTCTCATTTTTCCTGAGTCATATTCATAAGAATTTACATGATTTTGGTTTGTTAAGCTTGCATCTTGTGGACTTTAATATTTTTTCTAAGTATGGGAGCATGTCTTGTTTTGTGTTGTTGTGTTTTGTCTAAGTATAAGATCCATGCTTTGTTCCTTGCTTTGTGTGTTGAACCTAGGCCATCTATCTTTGCTACCTCATGCCTAGGTCACACCTTTGAATCTCTTACACCTAGACCATTAAGCGTTAACACTTAGGATCATCTTGGAACCATCTTGGTTGACCTCCGCCTTCACCCTTGTATCTTGGCTGAGATGTGCATCATCTATGCCGAGGTGTGCATCACCTAGGCCAAGATGTGTATCATTTACACATCTGAGATTTTTGATCCTTAAACCTAGCAATCTTGTTCCTTGACTTGTACGACCTAGGCCGAGGTGTGTCACACCTAGGCCAAGTGTTACCACTCCTAGCGAAGATGAGAAAGACCTCACTTATCCTTCACTTGTCCGAAGCCTTTGTTTTGATCCAGGATCCTTGCCTTGTCAGAGTGCCCATGCCACCTTACTTGTTGTACACACTTTGACCTACTCTTGTCTTTTCATTCCGGCACCTTTTTTAGAAGACTTGATCAGATAGTGCCACATGTCCCAGTAGTGGTTTTAAGATAGTTAGCAGTTGAGAAACCCATATCTTTGCCATATCTTCGTCTTGAAGAGAGAGAAGCTCTAGGAAGAAGAAGAAGAAGTTCTTAGAGTGAGAATTAGATTTTCAAG